TTAGTTCAGCTCCAAACAAAAATAACCCACCTCCCCCAAACTGAGGTCTAAGGGTCTGAAACAGAGTCCACTCCTCTGGACATACATGCCTGCTGCCTGCTGGCTGGCGAAATCCGGTTTTCCGTAGTTCTAGCAGGAACCGTGAGAAATGGACAGCAGGTGGCGCTGTCTCCTCGTTAGACATAGCCAGGGGCAAAATCCCAGGGCAGCTTGAGCTCTCCCTGTACAGACTCCACAATAAAGTGCAGCCTGCGGCCCCCTGCCCCTTGCCCATCTGCTGCCCTTCCCTCCCAGGGTTTACCCCTCTGGCCCCCTGTTGCTACCTTCCTTCACATAGGCCTAGCTCTCTTGACCCCAGCCTGATGACTGGAGCCGGTGCTGAGGGTCCAGAGAGAGCTCAGTCCTGCCAAGCCCCTGTCACACAGAAACCCAGAGACACCGTGTGCCTATCTAGAACTTGCTTTCGGGATACATTCCCAAAGACAGACGACTTGTCCTTTTCCAGGGACATCTAAGAACCTGGCATTCTTCCACATGGCTGTGACCCGGACAGCCAGGGAACATGCCCCCCCCCCCCCCGCCTCCCTGGTGTGATGTCACTAGTTTTAATAAGATGCTCGGAGAGGCTCAGCACATGGTCCTCCCCCAGACCATGCTGTGTCACCATGAGGGCACTGAACACCAGAACGATGACAGAGTAATATGGGCTGGGTCCCAGCAGTGCTGTTTGCCTTGCCCAGGCAAACGGCCCACCGAAAGGGCTGTGCAGGCACTGTGGTCGGGCTCCGTAGGGCTAGCTTTCAGCTCTGTTCAGACTACCCCACCCAACTGTCCCTTGGGCGGCCCAGGCCCAGGGACATTCCTTCAGGGGAGTCGCATGAGCTTTCCTGGTGGTAGAAACAGCCGCAGGACCCAGCAGAACAGGTTCAGAACAGGTGTGCAATCCTGCCTGGGTGACCGCATCTTCCTATCATGCTCTCTGCGGGCGGAGTGGGCTTCTTTCCTATGGCCAGCCCGTGACTACGGACACTATGGCTATGCCGACCTGACGGCTGCGAACAGGTCGATCGCCAGGCAGCCGCGGCTGCGCAGTGTGGCCCTGTAGGTGCTCAGTGTGGGTGGACTGAGCGGCTGTGGTCGCCCTTTACCCATCCTGTTGTTTCTCGTGGATTGTATTCCTCTCTGGGCTGCCAAAGCTCACCAGAAATTATTATAAGGGTGGGAGTAGAGATCTATGGTCGATAGCATCCTAAGAGTGAGACGCTGGGGATGATACTCAGTACAGAAGAGGAGGAGGAGGAGAGACGGAGGGAGAAACGGAGAAAGGGTGGGGGAGTGAAGAAATGCAGCCAGGAAAAAAGCTCACTGTTAAAGGTCCACGATCCATCTGCTGATCTCTACAACAGCCCAGAGACTGGCCGCGGCCCCACCTGGACTTGCAGGAAAGAAGGCCCCTTCCTCCCCTTACCCGGAGAAACAGAACCAGGCAGCCGCACCCTACTGCCGCCCACAGCTTCTCTGGTCTTGTGTCAACTTTTGCTTGATGTTTATTTCCACTGTACCAAGGGGTTGAAGGAAGAAAGGGGAGCAGGCAGGGAGCCATGGTGAAAATTGAAATGGCAGTTTCTGTAACTCCAGGGGGGGAGTTGGAGTCCCCAGTCAGACTGTAAACTGAGCGCCTGCAGCCTTCCTGGGCTCAGCGGGAAAGCTGGGCAGGGTCTGGTGGCCCTTGTGTAGAGTGGAGGCCAGCCTGGGCTGGGTCAGGAACCCTCTTCAACATTCTCCTCTCCACTGATGATGGGTTATCCAGGAAAACAGGGCATGAGCTTTGGGGTCACAAAGTCCAGGGTCTGAGCCCCCAATCCCACACCCTCCTAGTCTACACCAGCGCCTTTGCGTCCCCTCTGAGTTTGACTTCCATGCTTGGGGGGGGGGGGGCAGTGAGAGCCACCTAAGGGGTGTTGTGAGGGTGGGCTGAGGTGTCCCGTCTGGAGAGGGCCGCCAGGATGCAAGAGTCTCCTGAATGCCGCCTATTTCCCCGGGGCACCCAGTTTTCCCTAACTACCACTGGAGCGAGGGCAAGCAGGAGAGGGCAGCAGAGGCCAGACCAAGCCACCTCAGCAGGGTCGCCTGGGGTTGGCAGGACTCTAAGGAGGAGCTCACACTTCAGCCCTTACCAGGACCCCTGTCAAGTTGTGGAGACCCCTGTCCCTCCTCTAGAGAACAACATGCTATAAAAGAACCCTGATGTGGTGGGTCACTGAGAGCCACCAGCAAGAATGAAATCCTTTCTTCTCCCCACCCGAGGCCCTCAGGTGTCAGAATGTTCTGGTAGTCTGTGTGGGGGTCTCAGGCCCCAACCTACTGTGTAGCCATCTCCAAACTGGGTGCTCATAGGAAGCACCCAAGAGGCGGCTCCTGGACAGTGTGGACTGGTGCATCCATGTTGTCGACCCACCCCCATCCCCACAATGAGAAACACCAGGAGGGGTCCGAAGGCCGCCCCCCTCCCTTCTGGGTGCCAGGGAATTGTGTCCCTTTCCACCTGAGCACATCACTGCCCCCTCTCGCTGGGACACTGTCAGAGATGAGGAAAGCTAAGAGGGGTGGCTTGGTTTGCACAACACCAAGGCCCCAGGGCAAGGACTCCGGGTCAGTATTTCCAGTCCCTCGTAGGAATAGTCACTGATGTGCATCCGACAGACAGGGAGCCAGGTTTGGGTGCAGCACCAACCCTTCCCTGCCCTAGACCCTTCAGTCCCAAAGAGAAAGGACAATAGATCGCACCTCTTCGGGACAGGCACCTGCACTCCACAGCTCACACCCTGTCGTCCCCTAGGTCCTAGGAGCTGAGGTCAGGCTGGGACTGGGTTCACGGTCAGTCGGTCCCTGTGGTCTGCGCCGGCAGTTCCTCCCAACTAGGTCTGTGGGACCTAGAGTCGGGGCCTAGGAGGCTGTGCACCCAGGTCCGCAAGAGGAGGTTGTAGAGGAGACCGTGTGATTCACCCACGGGGCTGAGCTTTGTGCCTCGCGGCGGCTTGTCCATCCCCGGGCCTTCTGCCTTAGGCCTTAAACACACGCGGGGCCTCTGGACCGTTCTGCAAGGGTGCTTGGAGATAACTAACACAGCTCAGTCTGCGCTAACAATAAGTAAGCACTCACAATTCCATGCCACTCAGAGGCCCTTGCACCAATTTAGGCCCGTGACTTGCATGTGCCCGAGTGCTTTCGTGGGCACAGCGGCGGGCCCTTCCCACCACTTACGAACCTGAGCCAGAATGAGCCCGGGGGAAACCCTGGCGCCATCAAAGCGGCGGCGGGAAACCAAAGCGGGTTAGGCGATCTTGCCGGCCGAATCCGGCCCTCTCAGCTTGCCTGGAGCCTGGCCCTCCTCTGGGGAAGGCCGGACTTTCCCTCCCACCCTCCAGCGTCAGTCGGTTCAGGCGAAAGGGAGAGTCCGGGCGCCATCCCCCGGGCCCTGGCCAGTTCTGCAAGAGCCACTCTGGGTCCCTTCCACTCGGCTGGCCTTGATGTGGGGGAGTTGGGAAATCCCGCGAAACCCGCACAGGAGCCCAGTGATGAGCCGGAAGCTGGGGTTCGCCGCCGCCGCCGCCGGGACACGGATCCTGGGTGCAGAAGCCACTGCACCGGGCCGCCTCCTTGCTTCCACTGTCCTCACTGGGGCGCAATCAGCCCCAGGGAGGGAGGTTCCCGGCTCTAGGGCCCAGAGGCTTTTCCCTGGACCTGCTTTCCGGCCCCGAGTGGAGGTCTCGGACTGCGGAGGACAGAGCCTCCCCCTGGCTTCGAACCTGCCTCCAGGCCGCAGGACCGTGAGAGCAGCGAGGCCGCAGCCCCCGCGCGATGCTGCAGACGCCTCAGCTCCGGCCTTTTCCTGTCCTCTTTATCTGGGTTTTATAGACAGCTGTTAGTTTGGGACATTAATTGCCCGGACGAGTTTATTGATAATTTTGATGTAACAGAGCACCGGAGAAATTACCCTCCCGTCCAGAATGTCAAGTCTGAGAAGAAGCAGCTTCTGAGGCGCGACCCCACAGCGCACAGACACTGCGGTGGGTCAGGACCGCGGCACCAACAATGCGGCTTATTGTGTTTGTTTTCCTAGGTGGGCGGTTGGCGATGGAGATGGTGGTCGGGGGAGCCCAGAGCTTAGCTGTTCGTTGTCTCCAGAAGAGGGGGTTAAAATACGATTTAGAAGGCAAATATGCTAGGGGTGGGAACATGGATGTAGTCCTGGACACCCACGGATGGAAGGTCTCTTCCTGGCTGGGTTTTACAGGAGTCCATCGGAGAAGAGCATCAGGCAATTTTAAAAAATAGACAAAATAAAACAAACAAGCCAACAAACCTTTGAAGTTGCTTCATTATCTATGACAGAATGCAAGACGGGTCAAGGCTCATGCCTGGAGTAAACTGGGCTCAAGGTAGCAGAAGTTTGTAGCCTGGGCGGTGGTGGTGCACGCCCTTAATCCCAGCACCCGGGAGGCAGAGGCAGGCGGATCTCTGTGAGTTCAAGGCCAGCCTGGGCTACAGATTGAGTTGCTACACAGAGAAACCCTGTCTCGAAAAACCAAAAAAAAAAAAAAAAGTTATGCGTAAATATATGTTAAAGCCTCTGTGCGTACACACACACACTTGCTTTTCCCCAAGAATGGAAGACTACAGTTTTTCTTTAAATGTTTGATTATTTCTTCAAACCAAGAAACGACATTTAGAAGGACAACAGAGGGCTCATCTTCAAAAAACTAGAAGCGGAAGGAGAAGTTACCCCTACCCAGATTTGACTCCAGTGTGAAATGAAGAGTGAAAAAGAGGACTAATAGGGTGGATGCGAGTTAGATTCACCTAGACTTCAGGTTTTGTTTTGCTTTTGTCTCATCCAGGGAGCTGAAGCTCCCAGGATCCGCCATGCATTGGTCTATTACCCCCATCAAAGTAGCCACTCCGGTTTATTTCTAGCGACAAGAGTTTAAGAGGCCATGTACAAATGTTACACATTTTTATTTTTGTTCTTTTTGTAGGAAAAAAAATACACAAAAAGCATACCCTCGGATTGTCCTTTTATACAGTGCAGGAGGTTTAAAATGTGTCACGGATGCCGCACCTCTGCGGCCAAAATACTAAAAAGGGGGACAGTCCTTCATTTTATATATATTTATATAAAACATATGGAAATTTGTTTTTACACGGATTGGTCTTTGTTTCAAATTTACAATGGGCATCAAATAAAAAAAAAAACTCTACACGGCAAATATTGCCAACGAAGTCACACCATTAATACTGAGAGGGCAGAGCTACGTGGTGTTTTGATTAGGAAAAGAAAGCGGAATAAATAACAGGCTGAGCCTGTCTACGGTGTCAGAGAGCCTGGACTACACCACCTGACCGAGCAAACCTCCTCCACTTGTGTTTGTTTCCTTTCAGAGTTACAGTAGAGACTGGGAAACAGAAAGACACCCACCGAAGAGGTCGAATCGTAACTCCAAACCAAGTGAAAGACGCTGGAGGAAGAAGAAAATGGAAGGGACGGAGGCTGGGGCAGCTTCTCAGCCCGTTTCCTTTTTTAAAAGTCAAACCGTGGCTCCGGGTATCCGCGTCATCCCCATGAAGATCCACCTGTGACTGCTGGAGGAGACCCCAGGTTGGGAGAGGGGTATGCCACGCCTGGTCCTTTCCTTCTCCCAAGGAGGAGGGGGGGGGAAGATGGCTGAGGGGAGAACTGTGCATTTCAAGACAGTCTTTCAAAAAAAGTTAAAAATTAAAAGATAAATACTCAATCAAAAATAAAAGTATTTGATAATGATTGGTCTCACACGGTCGTGCTTCTAAAAACTGTCCCTTGGTGTGGGAGGGGTGGAGAGACCTCGGCAGAATTCTTCCCATGTAGCTGGCTGGAGACCCCCGACACAGCACCTTCGTGGCTGCTTTCAATGGGGCTGAAAATAAGTATTTATTTACTGACAGCGGCAGTCCGATCTGGCCCCACTGGCCACTGTGTTTTAGAAATTAGTGAGGGAGTGGGGGGGTGGAGTCGCCGACCACAGCGCCAGGTCTGTGTTGGGGTTTTCTTTCCAAATAATCCGTTAGGGAAGGGGACAGGCCCTTTTCTCTTGCTGACGGTTATACCTCCAGAGTAAAGCAGTTTGTAGTGGTGGGCTCCTGGTCCCTGGGCCGGCCAGGCTGGGCTGGAGGGCCCACGGCCTCAGCTTCACATCACACACGGCTTGATGTCTTGGTAGGTGACCTGTTGGTGGTAGTAGGAGCCTCCACCGGTTGAGTGCATGGAAGACGACGCCATGGCATTGAAGGAGAAGACAAACTCCTTTCGGTCACACATGCTGGGTGACTGTGAGTGATACCGAGGGATGCCTGGAGGGTGAGGCGGGTAGCGAGAGTGGGGAGCAAAATATTAGCTTCTAAGGCGAGAGTCCAGAGCCCAGAGGCCCTGTGCTGACCAGGCACATCGCTGCCTGGCCCCAGTATGTTGGAGCCCTCAGTGGGGACAGAACTGGGGAAGAGGAATGGCCCCTCCCTGTGCATCCCAGGACCCATACTAGAACCCTGGCTACAAGTCCTGCTTGGGGAAGCTCCAACTTCCCCAGGCCTCTCCAGCCTGGACGCTGTGCCTGTCTGAGGGCTTCTTCGAAGCCCAAGAGGACAGCAGAGGAAGCAGTTATGGCTTCTGATGCCCCAGAGCCTGGGAGACTGAGGTTTCTACAGCTGTCACTTACACCCTGGTGAAGGGAGAGGCCCAAGTGGGTCAGCAAACTTCCCAGCCATGGGCTAGGTTCGATCACCTTCAACCCACAGCAGTCCTCCCTGAAGGACAGGCAGTGCCCGGGATGTGTGGAAATGGGATTCCAACTTGGTTGACCCTGAAGAGAGGTGGCCCACCGTGTCCTGCCTAGTGCTCTGCCTCCCAGGGACTCTGACAAGCTTATTTCTGGCCAGCTCTCTACCCATTTCTCCTTCCAGAACTAGGCCCGGAAGGAGAAAGCTACCCATGAAAGGCTAAGAGTAGAGCACGCTGGCTGTCTTCTCTCTCAGCGAGGTGAGTCTGGGGTGGGCACTGAGGGACCTTGAAACCTGGATCCAGAAAGACAAAGAGCACTGGGGCCTGTAACTCCGATCCTCATCTCCAGGCCCAGTCACCACATGGGCCAGCTTCTGTCAGCACAAAATGCCCCTGAACTCACCAGGCCAGGTTTCCTGAAGAGCCTGGGCTGAGCCTCTCTGTTGGGCCCAGGCCGCTTTGGGCCTAACTCTTACTTTGGGCCTAACTCTTCAGTTCTTGCCTAACACAGACTCCTTGCATGGGGACTATCAGAAAGGTGGGCCTACTGGCCGGGGTTAGGCCTCTGATTACATACAGGGAACCTTTGCTAGATGTGAAGGAACCCACACGCCCCAATGGGCTTAAGAATACTGGGCTCTGACTCTTTGGGGGTGAGAATGGGGCCTACCTGGGCAGGCTTAGGGCAGCCAGCAAAGAGAAGCCAGAATAGAAACTAAACCAGCCTAAACCGGGAGGGTATCAAACTACACTAACTCGTCAGAGAGAGCAGTGGTACCCAAAGGCATCCTAGGGGGTTGCTGTCTCCCCCTCAGAGTTGGGGCTAACGCTCTAGGAGCAGGACTGGTTCACAGGCTGTCAGGGGTCTGGGGTTGGGGACCCTTGCACTCACTCACCTTGCAGTTCCGCCGGCCCGTTGTGACTGTTTTGGTGCAGGTACGGCTGGTCCAGGGAGTGCGTGGAGAGGCTGCCCGACAGGGGGTTGGCCGCTGGGTTACAAGGGGATAGAGGCTGTTGCTTGATGTAGGAGGTCCCGCTGTTGAGAGCTGCGGAGGCCGAGGGCGGCCAGGCTGCTGCCGAGCTGGAGTAGACAGCGTGCGGCTCCATGACCCCGCCGGCGCCGGCCGGCAGCAGCGGGGAAGCGGGCACCGAGCTGTCGTGGTGCGGGTATTCTCCGGCCGCAGAGCCACCGCAGCCGCCCATGTACGAGTGGCCGCCGTTGGAGGGCAGGTGTGGCACCGAGTGGCTGGGCAAAGCCATGCCGTCCACGTTGCCCGCCAAGTGGCCATTCATCATGCCCAAGCCGCCCTCCAGCGCCAGGCTGTTGGGAGCACAGGAGAGGCCTCCGGAGCCCTGGAAGCCGTAGGTGTCGGGGAGGTGGTTGAAGCCCAGCCCGTTCACCATACTGTACACAGGCTTGAGCGCCTGGCATTTCCTTCGGAAGCCGCGCGGCCGCCGGCGGAACGAGCCCTCCTCGAACATGAACTCGCTGGCTGGGTCGATGGTCCAGTAGTGGCCCTTGCCCGGCCGCCCGAGGCCCTTGGGCAGCTTGATGAAGCACTCGTTGAGTGACAGGTTGTGGCGCACCGAATTCTTCCAGCCCTGGTAGGCGCCTCGGAAGAATGGGAAACGCGCCTGCAGGAACTGGTAGATCTCGCTGAGCGTCAGGCGCTTGCTGGGCGAGCTCTGGATGGCCATGACGATGAGTGCGATGTACGAGTAGGGCGGCTTCTCCGGCCGCCGCACGCCGGCGTTGGTCTTCTTGGCCTTGGTGGGGCCCGCCGCCGCGGGGTCCATGGCCTGGCCGCCCGCGCCGCCGCCTCCTCCTGTGCCCCCGCCGTGCGGCGGCTGCTGCTTGTCGGGCGCGGACATCGGGTGGCTGCTGCCGCCGCCGCTGCCGCCGCTGCTCTGCGCCGCCGAGCCGGGAGGAGGAGGAGCAGGAGGGGAGGGAGGGGAGGGGGCTGCGCGGGGCGGCTGCACCTCTGCCGTCACTGCGGCTCCCGAGCGCGCCTCCCCCGCGTGCCCGCCCTCCCCTGGCTCGCGATTCTCCTCCTCCTCCTTGCGGGAGGCCACGCGCGTTAGGGGGCCCGGCACCGCCCCCCCGGGGGGCTGCACGCCTTTGCGCCCCCGCAGCCTTCAGCGTCCGATCCCCCCGCCGCTACTCAGCCAGCGCGAGCCCCCCAGGTCCCTCCCCGCGCGCCCCCTCGGCCCCCGCCCTGCCCGATCTGCACAGCCCGCCCCGCCTCTGCCGACCTGGACCCGGTGCGCCGGCTCCCGCCTCCTAGGCCCGGACGACTGGGCTGGACACGCGCCCGGGGCCCCGGTCTTTCCAGCACACTGGGCTGCGGCGGTGGCGAAGGCCTTGGGTCGTGACCAGCGTGGGCAGAGCAAGCGACTGGGTTCCCGGCCCTCGAGGCAGGACGGCGTAAGTTCCCGAGAGGGACCGCCTCCCCTCACTCCCCGCCCCGGGAAGCGCTGCGCCGGCGCCCGGCGGTCCTCCGACTCGCCCAGCCGCGCTGCAGCCACTGCCCCGGCCGATCGCGGGCGGAAAACGAAACCGCAGGCCGCTTCGCGGGCGCTTTTGTCTCCAGCGCTGCAAGCGGGACCCGGCGAGTGGCTTCAGTTCTTGCAGCGCCACGAACCGCGCAGGTTCCCCAGCAGGACGGCCGGTTCACTCATTCATGAAGGCGCACAAACACACACGCGTGCTTTAACGCGCGCTCGGAGCGCACACGCAGTGATGCCCCAAGCGAATTCCCAAATGACCAACTCAGACATACAAACTTACACCCAGTGCGCGCCCCACTCACGTACCCCAGGGTCCCATCGGAGCTGCCATTGCGATCGCCCTCAATCACACACACGCCACTCTCAGATCTGAACTCAAACAGCGAGGTCTCCTCGGAGCCCCCTCCCCCCACTGCTCAACTCTGAAATCCGCTTAGTTGGCCCCGCGGCCCCGAGTCCCCTTTTACAAGCGCAGGTTCTGATTTCCTGAGAGATGGCAAAGTCCGGGGCAGGAAGTTTACAAGGCTCAACGTAAACACGTTCCGGGGGATCCTTTAATAATAAGAGTAGAGAAGCCTGCGGGCGCGGGGGGAGTTGGCCTGATGCCCCTATGGGCTCGGCCTGCCGCCGCCGCGGGGCCTCCGACACTGCACGCCAGGCCGGTTCCGGAAAGCGGGCGGCGCTGGCGGGGAGCGCGGCAGGGAGCGGCCCTGGCTGCAGGGTCGCGGCCGTGGAAAGCTGGTGCGGGGCGCAGCAGCGCGCGCGAGACCGGGCTGGATTCTGCGCGCCCGAAGCCAGGTGAGTGCGGGCCTCGCGCAGCACAGACGCGCGCGCGGGTCCTTGGTGGCAGGGAGGGTGATGAAGGACCTTTTAGCGAGTCAGTGCGAGGCACGGAGGAGCCAGGCAGCTGCGCCCTGGCGCGAGCTGCAGGGAGAGGTGTGTGCGGGTCTCCTTCAAAGCCCGCCGGCCTCAAGTTTCGTTGGATTCCTGGTTCCCCATCTTCTCCCCACCCCCACGCCTTCAGCTTTGGTGGAAGGCGCCTTGTCGCCTTCTAGGCGCCTGGCACGTCTGTGCAAGAGGCTGGGGGCTTGCTGACTTAGGTTGTCGCTCTGTCGCTGCCTCCTTTGGTAGGGCCGAGTTCGCAGACTAGAGTCGCCTTTCCGGAACTTTTTTTCCAGGACGGGCTTGAGAACTCTGTGGCCCAACCGGGGAAAAGGGGCGGAAGGGGATGTGAGCGCGTATATGTGGTTATGCGTTCGCACACATAGACGCCCTGTGAGAACGGCGTCTGCTTCACGCAGCTGGCCTAGGCAGCATCCCTCAGCACCATCCACAGACTGGCCTGAACCTTCTCAGGGGACTTCTGGGCAATTCAGGGGCGCCACCCTGGGGAGGACACACTGCATGTAGCTTGCACGTTACTGGACTGTGCCTTCGCCCACACATAACCACACTATCACAAGAATGGGCCCTATACGCCAGGGCACGCCCCCACCCCAAGCCACTCACTCCCATACTCCTGGTTTTTTTTTTTTTTTTCTTTCTCTCTCTCCTTTTTTTCCCCTTTTCTTTCCTCTCTTTTCATTTTCTTTCCGTTTTGATCTCTACTGACAACCCCAGTCCCACGGACTTGGACTGTATAGCAGGGAGGGAAGTTTCCAGAAGGGTGCTGGATACCTGGCCTTTTAGCTAGAGGTGAGCTGAGGGAGGTGTCCAACTTCCGAGCCAGCAGGGGCTGCGTTTTGCACTGGGGGTGGGGGGATGGTCCAGGAAAGTGGTAGTAGCCAAGCCTCTGTCTGCAGGCCAAGGGGGCCTCCAAAGACAGAGGCACAAACTCTGCCCATAGGTGACCTCCAGCTCTGTTCCCTCCTTTCCTGAACGACCACAGACCACTGTCCTTCACAGAGCCCCTCTCTTGGAGGCTCCTTAGGTTTGGGGTGAGGTAGTTTCTTTTCTTGGGGAGGAAACTTAAGTCGGGACTCCACTTAACCCTTCAGTCCTCAGGCCCAGTCGCCAGTCCCCGTGGCAGGAAAGAAAGGGGGCCCACCAGCCTGAGGCTCACCCCAATCCCTATTTCTACTAAGGAGGGAGGTGAAAGTGGGTAACCAGGAGGGTTAGGAAGCCCGGGTCCTGTAGCGTGGAGGACCCTCTATGCTGTTAAACTACCTTTATAGCAAAGGGGGGCTTGCCTATGAGTTCCGAGAAAAGTTAGCTCTCAGACACGCCTAGCTCTCCCTAAATCTCACGCTTTTGAAGAGGGGAAACGGGGGTTCAGTGGTAGGGTCTATCAGTGGCTCCCCTTGCTGGACCAATAAACTACCGCCAACCGACGCTTTTTAAAAAGTGCCAATTGCACCCACCGGTTCCTTTTCAGATGGACTGGGGAGGCCATGCCAGGCCCTTGGTCATTTCGTGTTACTGGGATCCAGTCTGACTGCAGGGAGCAGACTTGGAACCGCTTCTTGAGAGACTCCGGGAGCCGCTCTCCCCAATATTCCCAGTGTAGGACTTGAACTCACAACTTCGGATGCTCACTAGGCCGTTTTGTACTGTACCAAGTTTTTTTGTACGCGCTCCAACTGCAGCAATGAGTTCTTAGGTTTGCGGCAGCAATCAGTCGGGACTACCGGAAAGGACGATATCAAAGTCCCCAGGGAGGCAGGGTCCCGGTCCGTAGGAAGATACTTGCACTCAGCTGAACATTCACAAGACGCCTTTCCCATCTCAAATCAAATCCCTACACTCAGCACTGGCCCCAGGAATGCCCCCGTTTCGGGGAGGACGCCCCCGACTCTCGGGGGCCCCAGGTATCTGCATTGGCTAATTGCTTAAGTGAAGCCGCCGGCCGAGAGCGCGCCCGGCGAAACCCGAGCGCGGAACCAGATCCTGCTTCGGCCGTGGGGCCGCGGGCGCCGCCGACCACCCACAGCGAGGCCGGCCGCCCTGCTGTGCATTAGCACGGCCAGGACCCCACGAGAGATTGCGCATCCCGGGGCATCTGGAGGGAGCACGGGGCACGCGGGCCAAAGTTCAGGGGTGGCAACGGGAGGGAACGGGAACGTGGGTAGAAAATCAGCCTTTGGGCACCGGAATCCAGAGTACCGCCTGCCTGCGGAGGCTGACCTGTGGACAAAGTGTGCGCGTGGGGCAGGCACCCAGGACGACCCTGGAAACTGGAGAGTGGGAGGTGGAGGTAGCAGGGCAAAAGGCAAACAAACAAATACCATCTATTCATCCCTGCCCACGACTGGAGGACCTGGGTCTGGTGTGGCTTCACATGCCATCAGTATTTGAAGATTCTAACTGGGCAGGGCTCCTTTTTAATCCATCAACCGGCTTAGTTAGTAGAATGACCAACTAAAGTGTGTACAGAAACACTCAGTTCCATCCCCGGCACTGTAAACCAGGGCAGCAGTGGTCTGTAATTCCAGACTCAGGTTGTGGAGGCAAGAGAATCAGAAGTTCAAGGTCATCCTTGAATTTAGCAAGTTGGGGACCAGCCTGGGATATCCAAGACTCTATGCCCCTAAATAAATAACAATATGGACATTACATTATGAACGGTTGTGTGTGCAGAATGCTGGAATGTAAGATAAGGGCTATAAAGAGCCTGCAAAATGTAACTGCTTTATACTCGGTGGTGAGATGTGGTCAGGACTGCAGGTTACAGGTGGAATGTTCTGGAGTGTGTTCTAAACATGTGCCCAGGAGGCAGAATATTTTAACTCTGCAGGTCACAGAAAAAAGGGCTCTGGAGTATACAGAGTGCTGTGTGCCGTTTCTGTCAGATGTGCATGATGCCTTCGAGAGAAGGCATGCTGCTGCCACTGGTGTTGGGATGCACCTTGCAGTAAGGACAGGAATCTGCTGGGTGTTCTGCCTAGCCAAGCATTACTCGTGGAAAGAGGGGGACATCGGGCTCTCGGTGTCTGTGGCCTGCCAAGTGCCATCACCAGCTTCTAGAACCTATATCTCCCCTGTGCCCTTTACCTTGAGAATGGGTTAATCATTTCCTTTTTATTTTTTTTTTTAAAAATAAGACTGTGGATATAGCTCAATTAGTAAAATGAAAACAAAACACCCACTTGCCTTACCCGGGGTGTGGTACTCAGAACCAGATAAATCAATCAGGCTTGATACAAGCCTGTAATCCCATCACTTCGGAGGTAGAGATAGGAGGATCAGAAGTTCAAGGTCATCCTGAGCTACACAATGAGTTTAAGGGTAGCCTGGGCTACAGAAAACTCTGTCTAAGCAAGTAAATAAGGTTAGCACTCGGTGCCAAAGCCTGAGCTCGGTTCTTCCACTAGCCCTTTACCCCAAAGCGTCATTTTCCATGATGTCCCTCAGTGAAATACTTGATGGCGTTGCAGCTCCGGAATTCACAGCTCTTCCCTGAGAAATGGAGCTTTCCTGAATGGATCAGATCGCATTACTCCAAGAAAGAGAAGGTTCCAGGGGTACTCAGTCTCCTGCAGGCTGGCTTCTGACGCCTCCTTCCTAGGCAGCTCTTTCCTCCCGCAGAGGCACCCCGCGTATCCCCAAATGTTTTTATTCTGGCAGCCCGAGCATTTCATTTGTACTTAGAAAGTTAGAATGTTGCTGCCGTGTGTGTGTGTGTGTGTGTGTGTGTGTGTGTGTGTGTGTGTGTGTGTGTGAGAGACAGAGACAGAGAGACAGAGACAGACTGAGACTACCAGAGCGGGTTTCTGAGGACGGATCTGAGCAGAGGATCACTGATCACAGAGGTGAGGATGGAGAGAGGCTTGAGGTTTTCTAGAGAAAGTAGGACTGAGACGGAGGGCAAAGGGAGAGAAAGCTGAGAATGAGCTTCCCAAACAAGCCAACAAGAAAACACACATTAAATGTCAAGGATCAGATATTTTTATTTTTATGTTTTTCAGGTTTAAGAGATATAGAGTAAGACAGAGCCCACACATACACAGTCTGCATGAACAACAGAGCCCACGCAGACTGTGTGTGTGTGTGTGTGAATGACAGAGCCCACGCACACACAGACCCCGAAGGAGAGGGTTCAGCAAGAGAGGCCACGGCCCTCTTGCTGAAAAAGTCGGGTCAAGGAAACAGGCTCAGATTTGTTTTTTGAAATCCAACAATTTGCTGCCAGGAACCTGCTCATGTGCGGACTCACTCCCAAGGTACCCTCAGCCAGCAGCCTCTGCACATTCACCAGTGTGCCGCATTAGAGGGCACTGGAAAGGGTGGAAACTGCCTTCGCAGAGAGAAACAGACTCCACCCAGCCTAGTAGGCCGGTCGGGAGGAGGGGGCTCACCTGCCAGCTCCCAGCAGAGGCCCACCCAGGCTTGGCTGAGAGAGTGGGGGTTACACCCTCTTCTCATACCTCCTGCCAGCTCAGCTACAACTACAGTGTGGATTCTTTCTTCTTCTTCTTCTTCTTCTTCTTCTTCTTCTTCTTCTTCTTCTTCTTCTTCTTTCTCCTCCTCCTCCTCCTCCTCCTCCTCCTCCTCCTCCTCCTCCTCTTCCTCCTCCTCTTCTTCTTTTTTTTTGTCCTAGCCGGGTTAGAAGGATTTGTATTTGGGCTTGTGGTCAGACCTGCTTTGTGCATTCAGATAAAAGAATGAGCCGGGCGGTGGTGGCACACTCCTTTAATCCCAGCACTCGGGAGGCAGAGCCAGGTGGATCCCTGTGAGTTCGAGGCCAGCCTGGTCTACAGAGCGAGATCCAGGGGGGGAAAAGTCCTTGAAGAGTGAACTAGTAGCCTGGGGGAGGGCAGCAGGAGAAGAAATGAGGCTGTAAGGGGTTGGGGGAGTGATGG